TGGAGTTGAGCAAATGTAGGAGCACCTCACCGATCGACTCAAAACACGCACGGAGCACGTGAATACTGACACCGTCCTCGCCACAGGCCGACGAGCTGCTGAGTCCGAAGACGACAGCACGCAGCTCTGACAGCGACAACGGCGCCAGCACGAACGCACAGGCGCCCACACGCGGCAAACGGCAAGGGGCGGTCGGCAGATCACCCGACCCGCGTACCTCGGCAGCTACTCGCGGTCCGACACTGACAAAATAATCATTCAGGTGGTCCGCCGATGTGCTGGGCACAGCACGCGACCCCCGCCTACTACCCACGTACGGTCTGATAATGCGCCACATGACCTGCACTTCTGTTGTCGTCATGCTGCCAAAAGACAGTCAGCTGTCGCCCTAGACCTATTTATATTTCTGATTTCGGGGTGGGCGGTTTTCCCCAAAGGGCGGTGTTCCCCATCTTCCCCTATACCTACAGAAAAACGTTTTCCGCAAAAACTTCAAATTTTGTGTTTTTGCCTATGGAGGCTAAGCCGTTGACATGTCAAATTTGAGAGCATTATTCAGAAAGAGCTTTGAAACAGCTATCGAATGTTTTTTTTTTTTGTAACCATGTACAGGGTGTCCGGAAATTATCTGCCCCTTGTTCATTGAGCTATACTCCACCTGTGCGCTTAAAGAACTGTTGAAAATTTGCTAAAACCGTGCCTAAGGCTATCCACAGCTGTCCGTTAGTCACATGACCTAACCCGGTCACCTACCTTGACACGTGAGAGGCGCCAGGGGCCAGCGTTTGGCAGGCGTAACTCGCACCTTAACGTGGTGTCTTCTGTGACGAAAGAAATTCTTTGACAAAGCGTCATCGCGCTGAAGTTATGATGAAGACTGGAATGAAATAGGAAGTCAAATCGATTCCTCTGTCCTAATCCCAATCGAAAACCTATCGGGAATCATGAACGAGGAGTTCAGCAAGATTGAACCAGCTCCCACAGTAAAGAGACTTAGAGGAACCTGTGAAAGGTGTGGCTCAGCATCAGCGCGAATATTCTGGACATCTTGATCTATGGAATACCAAAGCGGATGAGGGAATGGGTAAGACAGGGCAGGGGATAAATCGGTCAATAAACCATGACCCGGGGGCTGTTTGTTTATTAATTATGGCGGCGAGCTGATGGAGGGGCAAATAATTTACGGACACCCTTTATATTAGCTGCAGCCGTAGCTGTAGCTTAGCTAAAGCTCTATTGTTTCCAGACTCATGCGCCGCTTTGTGAAAAGCTGTTCAGCTCGGGACCAAAATTCGTGATAAATTTTCTTTTGGTGACCTTCAGTGACCCCAGCGATGACCTGATCGAAAAATGATCTTATTGGTTCTGAAAGATCTTACTATAGCGAGCTATCTATTGCTTTTTGCCGTGTCTTTCTAGCTTTCTTACTTTTCGAGATAACCTGTTGTAGCTTGATAGCCCCCCCCCCCCCGGTGCGAGCGACTTTAGCGAGTGTCATTTGAGCGAACGTCATTTGAGCGAACCATTTTCAGCGACTGGCAACTTAGCGAATATCAAATTGAGCGATTATCAAATAGGTATAGCGATTATCAATTTCAGCGAAAGCTATGTTTCAGCGACATCTTTTTCGTCGACTACAGTTTGAGCGACTGTCATTTCAGCGAATCGTCCCGTCATTCGATCGTCGTCGAATCGTCATTTCACTTCATCGTCCCGTAACGGTGTATTTTTTTCTTTTTTCTTTTGCGAGCATTCGTACAACGAATGTTTCCGGAACTTTTCATGGTTATCCCGAACTGGATGGCGGATGTCACGTTCAAAGTTAAGACGTTAGGCTCCAAATTTGATACCACATTTCTAAAAAATTCTAGCGGTTCGATTTCACCCTCCCCCCCCCTGCTATTTGCCAATAATGATGACCAAACGTTTGTTCTGAGAGTCATATTGCTTGTGCTGCTTTTTTCGCGAAATCCCCCCCCCCCCCTTGAATTTGGATCAGTTCCCCATGTTGTAAAATTTGCTCTTGCCCCAAGCAACGTACGAATTTCCAGATATTTGGGTGAGGTCCCTGAAACATAGACTGGATCCCCTGTGCCATCCCTCGAGTTTATTATTGGTCCTTGGTATTCCTCCCATCGTCCTATCACTCACGTTCCACATTTCCTAATCAAAGTTGCAGAATGAGGCCAGATATTTTTGTGGTTTCCAAGCAGTGATGCCATCCACATTTTTGCTCCATCCCAAGATCTCGACCAGAATTTCCCAAGATTCTCGTCTCGAATCCCAAGACTACCTATCGCATATTCTTAGTAGTACCCCAAGTAAATCCATAGCTTATTTTGGACATATTAGTGTGTTTAGTATTCAACTTTCTCTTCTAAGGGTCCACCCTTGTCCTTATTGGCGTATTTACAGCAGCTAATGTACCTAGAGGCCGGGGGGAGGGGACGGGGAGGGGGTCGATCGGAATCCTACAGCTGATCGGTTCCTGACCGAGTATAAGAGCTTCACGAAAAATGAAGATGCTGGCCTAGACAACATGAAGCCGGTGGTATCTGATATTATGGTCAGGTCATTCGTCGACCGTCAATGGTGGGTCAAGGACCCAAAACACAAAGTCCTAATCTGTTAGAACTTCTTGGAAACGAAGTCTGTGGCATTTTGGATTTATTTCGAAATTTGTCTCGTGACACATTTGGAGAAGCTAGGGTCAGGTGAGGTCAGGCTGATTTTAAGTGTTTTCCACCACTGAGTTTTGAAATATGGGCTCCAAAACAAGCTCTTAAAAGCTTATGTGAATCCCGAAATCGAAAAGCCTATGCTGTGAATCTGCGCGTAAGCCAGTGCCCGCTGGGGCCCATGAATTTTCAAGCCGACGATGGCGAGGGGGTCTAAACGAGGACCTAACTCGTCCCCTTGACTATATACTATATAGTTACAAGACGTCAGCAGTGTTGTGAAGGTCGCAAGCAGGGCTGCGGAGTCGGAGTCGGAGTCGGAGTCGGTCGGAGTCGACAGTTGTGACCGGAGTCGGAGTCGGAGTCGGAGTCGATTTTAGAAACCCGAGCCGGAGTCGGAGTCGGAGTCACCGAAAATCTGTCGACTCCGCAGCCCTGCTAGGTCTGCGGAGTCGGAGTCGGGAGTTGGAGTCGGTCGGAGTCGACAATTCTGCCCGGAGTCGGAGTCGGAGCTGGTTTTTGAAAGCCGGAGTCGGAGTCGGAGTCGCCGAAAATCCATCGACTCCGCAGCCCTGGTGCGAAGGTTACGCTTTGATTATTTTTGGTCCAGCAAAGCCCAGAGGTCAGGTGACCAGACACTTTTCCGAGGTCAAAGACAAATTGCCCTTATTTTGGTTCGCGGTCAACGGAAAAGCCTCCATAAAGCAAAACCGTAAAATGAAACGCTTTGTGCGGGAGCCGCTTTCTGAAATATTTTTAGGCATAATGTTTGTAAAAGCTTTTCATAGCCACCCAACATCATGCCGCCAAACCACCCATCCCCGTTGATCGGTAGTTGGAAATTAAACAAATGAGAGCCAGTTGCGAACGGCGACTGAAAGCTGCTACTATACCCATAACAAGTAATGGTACAAAATAATCCTGCGATCTCGGGAAGATAATGCCTGCTAGAAACATCGCAAGCTTCGTCCGTTACTTCAATATGTTTAATTAACCGTCCGTAAGGCAAATCCATCCTAAATCTATTATCGACCAAGGAAAAAGCATTCGACAGCATGAGAAGACAAAGTGAAATCAGCTTCTGCCAGATCCCAAGATATGCAGTGCAAATCACAAGATCCCAATGTTAATGTTCAAATCCCAAGATCTTGGGACAAATCCCAAGGAATGGCATCGCTGTTTCCAAGCTTAAAAGCAAATTTTTAAGTTGCCGCGCGCAACTTGAAGCATGACACATACCAAGCGGGTATTCCAAGGGCAAGAATTCCCGAAAAGTAGCAAATGATCTTCCGTCGCGTTTGGTTTCGCTGTAATTGTGTTTGCTCAATTGGTCCCCCATTGACCTCCATATATTCGCTCAAACTGGTTTCGCTGATTCTGGTCCTCGCTTAAGTTGATAATCGCTGTGATTGAATTCGCCGACTTGACAATCGCTGAAAAAGTCAATCGCTTAAATTGATAATCGCTGAAAAGGCTTCGCTCAAATGTCGTTCGCTGAAATGACGCTCGCTCACGTGTCGCAGAACCCCCCCCCCCCTCCATGGCGAAATCGGCTGAGAGGCCCACCCGGGCGTGGGTTAAATTGGTCTCTCATGAGTGTTTGTAATAGGTATGCGTTCCTGTATTCACTTCGAATAAGCATTGGAGCAGTCGGCAAAGTGCTTCGGTCTTTTAGCAAACAGCACCATTATTACGGTGCTCTTTATCTCGCCTACGGACACAGAATGAGTTTCATTGAGTTAGTTTTTCGGGAGGAAGTGCAAAAGTAATGAGTTTCACGATGCGAGATCTGCCAATTGCGGGAAATATTTAAGCACCTGATACAGAAACTGCTCCCAAATAAGCGAAGTGTGTGAGAGCGCGTCGTCATGCAATGGAGCAGTCATTCCCAATCCATTAGCCAAAAATACCTACTGACTGCATCAGAAGGTATTGGGAACTTATGCCTTCACCACGTTGAATTCTTCTGCGAGTAGGTACCTACTATTATTCCCACCGCCTATCTTACTTGTCTCGCACAACCTGCCTCACAACCTTAACGTTTTATTTGTTTTCGATCAGTGGAAAGCTGTTCTCTCCTGACGTTTCATCCTACAGTTAAAATTAGCCCGTTTTGAACAATTTGTTCCAGTCACATTCCCTCGTAATAAATATAGCATCATCTCGGAAGTCTCGGAACAGCTTGATGCACCCAAGTTTCCTCTTTCCAGTGTCACGCTGCTGGATACTGGTCAAATGAGTTGTGCAAAGCGGAAAGGACGATGCAAGGTATGTTGTTGCCAAGCTCGGTAGGCATTTTGGATCAAAATCAAAATAATACACTGTTTTGCTTCTTGATTTACTGCGGCCTGAACAAAACTCGGTATGTGTTTCACAAACAAGCATTAACTGATCATACATGTTCCATTTACGCAAGAAAATAAAGAAGTCGTAAATTCCAAAACCACTGCAATAACAAATCAAATGTTTCCTCTAAAGTGCAAACCGATAAACAGAGACAATACCTTGTCAATACTTCAGCTCGGCACTGACTGGTCGTAGTTCAAGGTCATCTGACGACTACATATTAACAAAAGGCTACAAATCTACGATAAACATGATTTGAACAATTCAAAGCATCTTCGCACTGGGTGCAACAGCGTGAACTAAATGTGCTGGCACCTCTCAGCTGACCCTCGGCCAACACTTGTCATGCCCACTGTCTGCTATTGGTGCTTGAACGGATCTTCGTTCGTTCATTGTAAGTTCATTGTAAAACATCTTTGTACTTTCCTGACCACGACGACGTCACCTGATGCGTGAAACGATGAAAATAGTTGCCAGTGTCACAGTCGACGTCTCATAGGGCGGAGGCATAAATACAAATCGGACTGATCATAAACGCCATTTATCAGTCAATTCACTTGCATCGCAGTAGCGACTGATCGCTGGCCGATGCAAACCTAAAAAGTGTTATTGGCCAATTTCGAAGCCTTTGATAGCCTGAAGGGCAGCGCCTACCTTTCCCAGTATGATTTTCCAAGACCGATATGGTCTCATTTTCATTGGTCACTAGCCCCCTTTTAAGCTGTATCAAGATCTTGTGAGGTACTTGGCGCCGACTTTCCAGCACTTCTATCTGCGCACACGGGCCCTGCTGTGCGTGGCTGGGCGCGCATGGCCTCCGCGAGACGGTCCACGTGGCGGGCACACAGCTCTGGTGTGACGTGCTCCCAGGCCGACTGCAGCATCTCCCACATATGTTCGCTGGTGACGGATCCACTAAAGCCGCCCAGCGCACTCCTAAGCTCCTGCACCACCTCCTCCCAAACCTGATCTGTAAACAGACACAAACACCAGAAATTTAGTTATACGTCCGGCCTATTTCGAATGTTCATAAACATATTGAACCCGCGCACCGACGGGGGTCTGCGCCAACTTCGTACCAACGGGGGGGGGGGGGGGCCGCCCCCCTGAGATCTCGAGAACGAAGCAAGATAGCGAGTGCGACAAGCGGTAAACAGCATCGGATACGCACGGACATGGTCTACAATTTTTACACAGGTCATTTTCAGGTCAGGTCAAAGATGACGTCACAGCCACAGGGGTCAAAAAGTCAAAATGGCTGCGCTAGATATGGCGAGTTTTTCTCGAATAACTTTCGAATTGGTCAAGATAGGAATAAACTAAGGGCATCATCGTGATCCTCTCGTCAATCCGCATCGAATGATATATATGTTGACCTCGAAAGGCCAAGGTCAAAGGTTGACCTCAGGTCACGTGACCTCGAGGTCATCATGTATATCAATCGATGCGTCTTGACGAGCTGAACACAATGAGACCATCCGCGCGACTGTATCTTGTTCCTGTACGGAGTTATTGGCAAAAAACCTTTGGTGACCTTTGATGACGTCACATGACCTTACAGCTACCCACCAGCAAAACAGACCTCAAGGTAGTGAAGGTTGATCGTATATGAAGTCACGTATGGTATATGGGGCCTGTCATAACCGGCTCTCGCCTCTACCGGCGGCCTCCCTCCCTCTCTCCCTCGCATACTGGTCACCCCTCTCGTCCCAGTGGACTCGCCCGGTGCCTCGGGCAGTATCTGTGACACGACCTCGGGTGAGCGGCCGGGAAGCAATACAGTTTTGAACGGGACGCCGTGCTGTCTACTTCAGGGCCATTCCGACCCGTTTTAGTGGTAAAAACAGGGATTTGATTTTTCTCCCATTGACTTATAATGGGGAGAACGAGAAATTGACCTGACCTTAGGTCATCGATATCAAAATTCCGAGCTATACAAATTGTAGCTACTATAATGACTTAATAACATCCTGCGACTTTCAAAGGCCTCCGACATTTACATACTGTAGCTCTGGCACGGTGACAAAGTTGCAAAAAAGTGACTTGAGGTTGGGTCATTCAAAGTGACCTGGTGATCTGACCTTAAAAGTTAGGAGGTTCAAACTTGCACATCATGTGTAAAATTGATGAGAGAATAGTCGTACCAAATTTCGCGGCGCGATTTTTCCGTTATTCGCGAAAAACCTCAGGGGGGGCGGATATCCGCCCCCCGTCGGTGCGCGTGTTAAAAATGTACCAATACGTGCGTCTAGGGGAGAGTGGGGCACATTCGTGCATGGGGTACATTCGTTTTCAGCAATTTATGGGAACACGAGTGACTGCACGAGCTCAAGGTAAATTATGGAAATATGTCTATCATTGCCGCCCTTCGTTCACCGTAGAAGACAACACTGTACCTGCTGTCATGCTTGATAAAAACGCAAATTTGTAATATTCGTGAGCTTTCCAAACTTTTCTCATATCATCCATTTTCGTGACCCTGACTCGGAAATGTGGTTCAGCTTTTCAAAATTGGGGGTGAAGAACGGAACGGAACTCTATTCACGGAACTGCTGCAAACTTGTTTGTTGAAAAAGTGTCATTTTTTCAAAAAGAAATTTTGAAATATATTACTAATAACGTTGTGGGGCAGGTTCGTGTACGCACTGCCTGGGGGCACATTCGTGCATATTTTTTTTTAGTTTTTGCGATTTATGACTTTATCTGTACTAGGTTTCTCTAATGACGCTCGCCTGACTCAGTCTCGACTGCTTGCGACGTCGTGACGAGCAATTCACGCGAACTTGGCGAGGTCACGGAGGCCGGCAGTTGGCACATTCTTGTTGGCCAGCCCATTCTTTCTACATTTGTTGTGCAATGCATTCTTGTCGAAAAGAATCAAGTGAAATGACCCCATGCCAATTTCCTTTGGTAAATTTCCGGTAATGCCCGGTAATTTCTCGAATTTTGCCGGGTGAACGGAAGTGCCCCATCTCTTGAACGAATGTGCCCCATAGGTGGGACAGTTTCGTGCAAATGTTCAGAGTTAATAAAAGTCATTTTTTCTAATGGAAGCAATAGTTTTATAGGATAACTTTTAAGAGGAAAACTATCTGCAATAGTTCCTTTCCATACTACAATCAACAATTTTGCCATTGCACTAACCAAAGAACAGATATATGGGTTTATCCAATTTTTGCACGAATGTGTCCCACTATCCCCTACTTAACATCCACTATGGGTATTTTACGATAGGTTCAACCAAAGATGCGGCCAAAGTTGAACTTCCAACATCAATCATTAGCAGACATGTGCATGGATCCGAGTGATGGATCTATGATCTCACTGGATCTCAAGTAAAAAAAAGAAACTAGGATCTGTGATCCCTACGGATCTCTCGATAAATTACAGAGCTGGATCTACGATCCCGTCAGATCCGAGATCAGGATCCGTGGGATCAGACCCCAGATCCATTTGTTTGTTTGTTTGTTTGTTTGTTTGTTTGTTTGTTTGTTTGTTTGTTTGTTGGGGTTAGGGGCGCGCCGACGGCGAGGTCATTTTGAGCCCATAACAGATATTTTAAATACGTCTTTAATTACTTACTTATTTACGTTTTCTCGGATCCATGCACATGTCTGATCATTAGAACGGTCACATTGCACCTTGCACCCAGTACCAGTACCTACCGCAAGTTAGCATGTATGTCATGGAACGCTACATGAATGCTTGTTGCGTCAGCTCCTGACGCTGACGGTCATCGCGAATTTCGAGGAAAAACAGCCATGGTATTTTAGTCGTCACGAAGCCCATACTATGGCACCCAAAATCTCAAAGACACCCCTCGCAAGTCACCCACTAAGTCAGTCAGCGCTCACCAATCGGGTTGTGCTCAGTCGGGCGCGGATACCACCTAACCAGCTGCAGTCGCGGCTGTGCTTCCAGAAGCCCGTCCAAAGACAGCGCCCTCGGCCAATTGCGCAGGTGAAGCAGAACCCGGGACCGGTCGGGCCGCAGCTCGTCGTAGGCAGGTAGAAACTGACTCTCAAGCAGGGCGCGGTAGGCAGCGGGACCAGACGCACCGGCGCGTCCGGTGCGCAGTAGCGAGCCGCGTCCCTCGCCGTCGATCCACGTCCAGACTCGCACCGAGCGGGGGCTTTTCTGATGGCTTTTCTGGCGGTAGTCCCGTCGTCTGAGGAGCGACCATTGTCGGTGTGAGGTGAGACAGTCAGGGGCGGATCCAAGGGGGGGGGGGTCACATGGGTCATGGCCCCCCCCCCCTTGAGGCCCGGGGGCCCAAAGACCTGCCAGGGGCACCACCGGCCTATCAGGGGTATCACAGTCCTGACAGGGGCACCACAGGACCGCCAGGGGCACCACAGGCCTAACAGGGACACCACGGGCCTGGTGCCCCTGGGCCCTGACAGGACTGTAACGCCCCTGACAAGCCTGAAGTGTCCCCGGCAGGCACGTGGTGCCCCTGACAGGCCTGAGGCGCCCCTGCAAGGCCGGTGGTGCTCCTGGCAGGCCTGTGGTGTCCATTGCAGGCCTGTGGTGCCCTTGCTAGGCCTCTGGTGCCCCTGACAGGCTTGTAATGCCCCTGGAAGGACTGTGGTGCCCCTGGGCCCTGACAAGCCTGAGGTGCCCCTGACAGGCCAGTGGTGCCCTTGCTAGGCCTGCGGTGCCCCTGGCAGGCCTCTGGTGCCCCTGACAGGCTTGCGGTGCCCTTGGAAGGACTGTGGTGTCCCTGGGCCCTGAAAAGCCTGAGGTGCCCCTGACAGGCCCGTGGTGCCCTTGTTAGGCCTGTGGTGCCCCTGGCAGGCCTCTGGTGCCCTTGCTAGGCCGCTGGTGCCCCTGGCAGGCCTCTGGTGCCCCTGGCAGGCCTCTGGTGCCCTTGCGCCCGGAGAGGACTGGTGCCCCTGAAAAGTCTGAAGTGCCCCTCGGCAGGCCCGTGGTGCCCCTGACAGGCCCAAGGTGCCCCTGCGAGGCCGGTGGTGCCCCTGGCAGACCTCTGGTGCCCCTGGCAGGTCTGTGGTGCCCCTGGCAGGTCTGTGGCGCTCCTGGCAGACCTGTGTTGACTGGTGCCCCTGCTAGGTCGCTGGTGCCCCTCACAGACCTGTGGTGCCCCTGGGCCTTGACAAGCCTGAGATGCCTAGCTATGACAGGCTCGTGGTGCCCCTGATAGACCAGTGGTGCCCTTGCTAGGCCTGTAGTGCCCCTGGCAGGCCTCTGGTGCCCCTGCTATTCCTGCGCCCGGAGAGGACTATGGTGCCCCTGAAAAGCCTGAAGTGCCTCTCGACAAGCCCGTGGTGCCCCTGGGCCCTGACAGGCCCATGTTACCCCTGCGAGGTCGGTGGTGCTCCTGGCAGGCCTCTGGTGCCCCTGGCAGGTCTGTGGTGCCCCTGGCAGGCCTGTGTTGACTGGTGCCCCTGCTAGGCCGCTGGTGCCCCTCACAGGCCTGCGGTGCCCCTGGAAGGACTGTGGTGCCCCTGCCCCTAGGGGTGCTAATGGCCCAACAGGCCCGTTGTGCCCCTGACAGGCCTGTCGTGTATACTTGCTAGACCTGTGGTGCCCCTGCTTCCTGGCAGGCCTGTGGTGCCCCTGGCGGGCCTGTGGCGCCCTTACAAGGCCGTAGGTGCCCCTGACAGGTTTGTGGTGTCCCTGGAAGGACTTTGGTGCCCCTGACAAGCCTGAAGTGTCAAGGACAGACCCTTTAGACGCCAGGGTCAAGTTCGTCGGACTGACAACGATTTGCTTACCTGATAACGTTCCTGGTAAGTACTCACTACTCAGCGCCCACAACATATATACACATAGCACATTCATATATACTTGCTTACAATTGGTAAATGTGGTTGTGGCTAAGAGCTAAGATACTGACTAAAAAGAAAAAAAAGAAAAAAAACTGAAAATGGGGGCACCACCAAAATGAAGTGGACGAAATCCGTTGAGTTTTTAATTTTGGGTATAGGTAGGGGCACCACTTCGATTCATGACCCTCCCCTTGGAGTTTTCCTGGATCCGCCCCTGGAGACAGTAGGTGGCTTGGTGCATTTCATCACACATGAACCCCAGTGCAAGAAACGGGCTCTAAGTGACCATATGAAAGGGTTATTGAGTCGTATGAACTACAAAATGCTATTATTTGTTGAGCTTCGGAGGGCTGAGCCAATTGTTATGATCGAAATGAATAACCTTCGAAATGTATGTTTTTTTTTGCATTTTTGTCGTATCTAACAAATAACAAAGAAGTCTATACGCATGAATAATAAGTAATAACAACATTGTGGACAGAGGATAAAGGAAGAAATAACGCAATTGGTGAGCTGATGTAGGACTTGACGTATTTGATACCAGCAATTAATATCTGGATGACCGCCGCGATCACAGTGTCAATTCACGTACCGGGATACGATCAGCCTCCCTGCGGTCACAATGAACGTTCTCTCGTCAGAGAAAACAACGCGCCGCCATTGCTCCGGCTCGTGCTGTAGCAGGACACTGGCCAGCAGCACGCGCGGCGTTTCCGTCCGTGCGACGCAGCTGGGGGGTGTGGAAGTCGATGGTGCTCCAAATACGCCCCCATCAAGCATTCGACTGTAAAAGGACACGAAAAAAACTCAGCCAACAGCGGACGTCACACACAGATACACGGCACGGGAATTGCGTACATCAAACAGCAAATAGTCTCGCCTAGGCTGACGATTTTGGAATGTTCCCAGTTACAAAACCCGTCATCAATTTAAAACGCTGAACACTATAAAATGTTTAGAGCAATATTGAGTAACAGACACTGCGCCACAGACCTGATTCATCTACATCTTGCGTGGAATGGCTAAGCAGTCACATGAGATTAAGAACTGCATGCTTTGATCTTCAAAAGAAAGAAATAGCACATATGTAATTCGAATTTCAAACAAGTTTTCACATTTTCAAACTAGTCAGAAATGCTCAAGAACGTGTCGAGTTCTCCAAAACTTTCTTCCAGATGATCAAAATTATGGGAAGGATCAGCTAAGAGTTAAGACCTATAAGGTACACCAACCTGCCAGGCGCCATTTTACTGGGAGCCCCAGCGACAACGATCCTTCAGATATCTATGAGCCGAAATATTGTTGAGATCTCGTAACAAGTATCTTAGTGTCATGTAACGAAGTTCATATAAATTATTAATGCAATTTCATTCGTAACGCACCTTCTGACTGAAGCAACACTGCAGCCGAGACCAAGTTCCTTCTTGACGACAGCAGGGGTACTGAGCGGGTGCTGCAATACGTACTCCACTATCCTGGCATCATCTTCCTTTGCAGTTGACCTCCGGCGTCCAACAGCTCCGAGGTAGTAATTTGCAAACGGGTCTATCCGGAGACTCTCCGTACTGTTGTTCACAGTTCCTTGCACACTCGTCCCATCCTTCCTTGAGACATTTTGTACCTCCTGCTCTAAGCCAGTGTCGTGCTCCTCAGTGCCCGGATGGGTTAATCCAGCATTTTCTACCTCTGGCTGCTTCCATCCGTTGACCTTCTTCCAGCGATTCCACCAGAGACGAGCAGTGCAAACGGTGCAGCCGACCGCATCGCTGGCTGATCGCAACGAGTGGCCCTGCCTGATCAGCAGAACGCAGCGCTCCCGTTCTCCGCGGCTCAACCGCCTCCATCTCCCTGCCGGAGATCGACAACGTTAGCACGGGTGGTGTTGGTGTGATGATTTGGTGTTTTAGGGCGCACCAGTAACGAAGCTATACGGCAACGTTAGCAGTTAGCACGGCTGCAGAGGAACGACTGAACACGAAAAGCGGGAAGTATGATAACTTATTCGTTGAAGCAGAGAGTAGTGCCGCACTGAGAACCCATCCATGAATTACCATAGCAGGAACGAAGGAAATTGCATTGAAACGCACCGTAGACAGAAAATTTCACACCTTTCCTGACCCTTGATCGTGCATGGTCCAGCATCAGAGTTGCAGGTGAGGTAAGGGATGCAACACGGCTCCCATTTGATGTTCTACGATCGGAACAGCGCCACGAACCCGACTAAAATAAATGAATAATAACTCACGAGTAGATTTTAACGGTCCAGTGCGAGCTTGTGTGGGGGTTACCGCCTTTGCCATTCGTGGCGAGGGTTCTCCAGCTCCACCTGAAACGATAACCGGACGTCTAACGTCGTAAACACGTCATTAAAACGGTAACGCTAGTATATACACCTTACCTACTCGCTTTGTCTGGCATCATCGATGACGGAAACGTGATCCAGTTATCGAACTGTCTGCCGTGCGCTGAGCGATGTGACCATAGGAACGTTGGATTACGTCGTGCATGTTTATTTTTCCCGAAGTGACGAGTTCTCTGACATTTTTTTTATTAGTCAGTGCTATTGTCAATGCTCCAGTCTGGTATGACTTAGGAGATCGATAGATGGAAACACCACACAGCCCACAGTTTTATAGATCTGTTGGATGTTTCTTTATGTCTTTTTCATTGTCACGATATAAAAGTTAGTGACATAATCAATGTTCAAGGTCCCAGAGACGCCATACCATTTATTCGCATCTTTTATTTAATTAAATAATCACATGAGCAAAAACGCTTGGAAAAAAGAACATACTTCTTGCACAAACCAGCACAGACTTCAAATCAGATTTCATACGTTCAATAGTGATATGAACATACGAACCAGGGCAAACCGCTGCACCCTTTTCTCATTTAACACGACCGAAACAAACCATAGTAACTACACAGCCAACAAAGATCAGTACCTCACTGAAAGCAATAGACAATAACTGAAAAATATTCTTGAGGAAGTTTCATCACAGTCGAGGGACACTTTTTGGCTCGTAGCACTTTACAGCAGCACTATAAACATCGGCATGCTGTTATTGCCTACCAGTGCCAGCCACTGTTCGCTCACCACTCTTGTTTATCTGGGCTTAACGTCATATTCGTCACAAACGTTATCACTCATTCGATGTCATACTTGGAACAGGCGTTGACGGTAGTTTCCAAATACTTTGCAAGAAGGCGAGTAAAGCTTCACTCCGACTAGTTGACCCACCAACTTGGAAGCACTGCATCTGAAAAAGCATATCAACCGTCTGAGCGCGGCATAACACAAGAACAATCACGAACCACATTGCTTTAATAATTCTCAAACTATTATCACCGGTGAACCGGCTGCCGGCGAGGTCGGGTG